TTCAATTCATCCTCATAATCTTCAATACTTTTGTTAGTTAGAAGATCGCGATCACCATTATTCTGTTCAGGATGGGGCTTTCAACTGGGATTCTTATGCGGACAGTCAATTTGGTCATTCTCATGCTCAAGAGATGGTCATGGACATATCTTTTGAGGAAGCTGTGCGAGGTGATCTATTCTTCATGATTGCGATTGTAGTGAAACACTTCATTACATTTTCGTAAACTAATTGGACGGATAAGTATCCATTTAAACGAATTCGTTGATAACTGATTGCTATTAGCCGTTCGATCAGGGGTGCTTAGGCTTTACGAAATGAGCGAGATTCCAATAGGGGATGTTGAAGGTGTAATTGATGTCGAGTTGATGTTATGCACCAATTTTTCTGATTGTGCTTATTTTTTGCGGAAACTGTCAAAAAGCAGCTTCTTAGGTACCCAGAAAAACATCTTCGTGAATGTAGTGGAAGATTGTCCTCGATGTAAAGGCACTCAAGTGGAGCCGGGATATAAGAAGGTAATCCTCATTAGTCGTCAGATCTATATCAACCGGAATAATATATGGCTATTATTTTGTCAGATTGGAGGCTAACCATGCTTTCTAGGTTTCATGTCCGTATTGCAATGGGACGGGAATGATAACTCAACGGCTACAAGGAGGCTTCTTCTACCAAGCTTCTTGTAATCGTTGTGGTGGTTCTGGTCATTACAACAAGGTTTGCTCTACAATTATCATTCTATTCTCATTTATTGAGAAACAATCATCCAATCCAAATCCATTTTCTCGTCGAGTTTAGAACCCTTGCCAAGAGTGTGAAGGTCATGGACAAAGTGTTCAGCGAAGGCAGGTTTCGTTTAGCGTCCCAGCTGGTACCAATGACAAAGATCGTGTGCGGTTCCAAGTTGGAAAGGTTTGTGGAATTCGTTTTGTGGAATGTTTCCCATTTTGATGTGGAACTAATGTGAGTGACAAGGTTTGGCGTTACTATTTACGCGCACCTGCGGAGGATGGGAAGACGTCGTTTCACGCTCGCCGTTGAAGCTATTCATTTGAATTGGTCAATAGGCACCGTGTAAGGAATAACGAAAGAGGAGATGGGCGTGCAAAAAACACTGAAAAAGGCTAATAAATCAGCACGTGAGGACATGAAACTATACTCACTCCACCGAAGCCAAAAGCACGTCGAAAGATCTCGTTAACATCAACAGTGCCTTTGTACTGCCATTCACCTCCTCTCCTGCCAGGACCTCCTCCAGCTGCTGACGAACTTGACCCAAACGTGTCGTATTCTTGACGTTTGTTGTCATCACTCAATACCTGTGAAGACAACCCCATTATTCGGAATAAAGGGTTTAAGGTCGCACGAATTGTAGTGAAGGTCTCCGCTGTCAAATGAGGATGGATTTTACCTCGTAAGCCTCTGAGATTTCTTGAAACTTTTCTTGTGCTTCTTTGGTTTTGTTGACATCCGGATGGTATTTTTTCGCAAGCTGAAAAACAAAACACATTTACCTTTTACAACCCATTTTCCCATTGCCATAAGGCACGAATGCTCTCATAAGATGGGCCCCAGCAAAACAAAAATGGAAGGAAAAACCCTCTTCCCTCATCCCACTATCACGCTTCGAATTAAAATTGAAACTTCAGCAGACATTAACGAAATTTTTCCCGTGACACAAGCCGGCCCAAAACATAAACAACGATGACATAGGATCACAGATAGCCATCAAGGAGCTTTCAAAGATGAAAGAGACTTCATCGAAAGGAATAAACTTCCATGAGGTGAATTTTCGGGAAGAGTTGAGGAGAGAGAACAGTCTATTACCGTAGGACTGGCTACGAAGGGATGGCGCTACCCGGGCATGGAGGCTTATCTTTTCATTCGGTGGGGCCTGGATCCTGGCTATGGCATTTAGGTTTGGTGATCTCATGTCTGAAGGCGAAGATGAGAGGTTCGCGATTGCGATCTCTGACTCTCCGTTATCTACTCCACGATAGGGAAAGACTTCAAATTTACTGTTTTGCACCAAAGAGAATGATGGTTGGCACACTTTTATTTCTCCATACACACACGCTCCCTTGGTTGGGCAGCAGTTCGGAAAGGCCCACTTCCAGCCCCCAATTTGAGAGGGAAATTGATTAGACCATTGATTAATTTGATGCTAAAGCTTTCAGCCTCGCGGTCATTGCCGATATCGGCTAACCGGCTCAACACGTTATACGTGTGAGTGCTGAAAGCTATGGTAAGTATACCATGAAAAGCTGAGTTGGAATGAAATGGTGCCCCGGTAGCGTAACTGGTAGCGCACTTGCCCGGAAAGCGAGAGGTGCGGGTTCTAGTCCCGCCTGGGGCGAAAGTTTTGTTCACAACCCAGCATTCTTGTTAAACACTCACTGTACTTAATAAGTAAATATAACAGACAAAAGCAGCTTACTTGAAAGTAAGCTTTCTTGATCTCCTTTCGCTGTTGCATCTTTTTTTATACCAAGTGTTTTATAGTAATCTTCCTTGCTTGATGGTCGACTAGAGTGGAAGTCTCGTTTTATTAGTACTGTAAAAGACTAGTGTGTTCATTCAAAATAAAAAAATAGACAACTAAAAAGTGTTTACAAGAAACCTACAATCCGATGATATCCTCATTCGCTGAGGTGTGAAGCGTTTTGATTGTATATTTGACGAACATATAGAAAGGGAAGCAACCTGAATGAGTAGAAATCTCCCCAGCAGGTTTTAGAAACCTACGAATTCAAAACTGTTAAGAGTTAAGTCAAAATTAAAAGAACTCACATGATTAAGAATAAGTGCAGCACATCGTTTCGAGGGTAAACCGGTTCTACTGAGCGTTATCATCACATAGATCAACTAACCAAGTACTGAACAGACTGAAAAAACATTTCTCAACCAATTTTCTATAAATGTTCTATCACTCGATAAAAGTCCAATCTGTTGTTTGTCGGAAAAAGCGAGTCTGAATCGGAATCGGGTAGCTTAGCATAAGCTATATAAAAGTACAATTTATCAGTGATACAGTGATCTTAAGGTATGGAAGCAAACATTTACACAAGACCGGAAATGAAGGCAGGAAGATGAAAACACCTTTCGCTTTCATCATGAATGCTGCCGCTGCTTGGAATCTGCTATATTTTTCTGCGTCTCTGTTCGCGAAGTCAGAGTGCAGACGACTGGGTATGGTGCTGCTAGAGCACAAGGACGGAGAACTTTCTCCTTTTTCTGGGGAGTGTACTGCCCTACACTTTCACATCCTGTTCTTCATTCATCCACTCAATAAGCTACCTTTGATTATTTCAAAGAAGGTCCCTTAATTGATTGGGAACCATCTCTCAGCAAGAGGGAGTTGACGGTTAGACGATTTCAATTCACGGACAACTGTCAAAAACGTTCGCGAAATCAAGCTCGATTCCAATTAGAGCTAATTTTGCACTCTCGGTAAGGCAGTCTAACCCCTGTGAAGGAGTGTTCATATTTTCGGTTTTGGGAGAAAGCGATAGTATAGAGTAGGATAATCGGCGGTTAAGCTTCTCTTGCTGAAGTGCGGGCAGGGGGTCGTATTTGCCTCAATGGTCCTGCCGCGATGGCTAGAGCACAGACGATTAGAGAACGGGTGAATGCCCTAGGACTAAGCCTTGGAGAGGAGAGGGACCCGCGAGAGAGCGCAGAGGCGGTTTAAAGGGCTGAGTTCAAGTAGTCCGTCGACCGTCATAGTTGTGGTTTATTTGTGATGTGTCGGCTGGTCTGAAACAAATACTATGGAAAGTCATGGTGATGAGAGGTGGCGGGAGCTGAGGAGGTAGGGGATTGTACAGGAGGAGACCCCTCGATGACGGTGGTAGGAGGTTGTATCGAGACTCCCCTGCAGGGGTATCGCGAAAATTTTGGAGAGCTACAAGTGCTGAGGTTGACAAATATCATCGGTATTATAGCGAGTACACCTCTGAGATTGACTGCTTAAAAATATCTATTGGTGCATATCCGGATGGGCCCGACACTGCTCTCTGCTGGGTTTTACTACGGAATGACTAGCTGATTGTGGTTTTTTTTGGAAACTCTGCCGCCGCGAGACAAGCATGATAAAGGATTTTACGAAGTTGCACTTTGCGAACCTCCACTTATGACCATGCTCTCCTTAACCTTGGTTACCATTATTTGGTACGCAAAACTCCAAAAGATAAGGATAAAGGATAAAGCATTTGCCGTTGATCAATCCCTTTTTGGGATGCGGCACGCATTCTACTTCCATTTGTACATTCGTAGTGGCGTTTGAATGCGATGTGGCCTATACAATGACTTGCGGGGCCAGCCCGGAGTAATCATTGTTTGGCCCAAACGACGCA